TCTGGTTAGCAGTCAAATGCCTTAGGTACTACGTCACCAGAGCTCCCTGTTGATTCTATATCCACCGAAAATCTATATAAGAAAAAAATAATGTAAGACATGCATCCCTCTGTAACATTTTTCAGGTTTTATCTTGATTGTGCTTTGGATGAAAGTTCACAGGGCAAATTGGTTTTCCATTCAACAATTCATACACATTTTGCTTTGTGACATTCATTGCAATTCCTACAATGTAACAGAGCTCTTCCCACTTCCTCCTGGTGTTTACCCTTTGTCCTTCTTTCCTAACCCATCCTGCCTTCTGAGCTTTATCTCTGGGCAAATTCTGCACTTTTGATCTCATACAGTTGATTGTTCTAATGAGTATTTGCTTTCACCTATAGGCCTGTCTATCCTTTGGCTGAAAGTTGAGCCATTGGGGTGAGTTCAATTCCAAGTCTGAAGGGTATCTAAGGGCCATACTCTTGGGGGTTCCACAAGTCTCTAGCAGACCAGTAAGCATGGTCTTTTTATTATTTTGAAATTTGTTCTATGTGGTTTTCTCACTCTATCCAGGATCTCCTATTGTAATCCCCTTTAGAGTGGTTGGCAGGGGTAGCTAGGCACTATTTAGTTTTTCTAGTCTCAGGGTCATGGAGGCTGGGGTTCATGTGGTTCTTTAGACCTTTGGACTAGTTATTTCCTTGCATCTTTGATTTTCTTTACTCTTCTTTGTTCTGGATGGGGAGAGACCAAGAGCTGCATTTTAGATGGCCACTCACAAGTTTTTAAGAATCCAGACATTTTTCATGTCTTAAATAGCAATTTAATACTTAGGAGACTTTTAAATCAAGTTCTTAGACCCTTGAGATAAAAATTAAGTTATTAACACCTGAAGGGCAAGCCATCCATTTAGGGAGAGTTGTGCCATTAGATGTAAAAGCTATTCTTAAAATACAAATCATGACCAGTTGTAGAAACAACCCCAAATAAGGTAATTACCTCTATACTTAAATTCTCCTAGTACCTAACTTTAATTAGGATACGTACATTTTCACTTCAAAAATTTGTGAAGGAGTTCCCACCTGGAAAGAGATTATTTTCCTCAGCAGATAATTGCTCATAATAGGTAGTGTATATTAGTGGGAGGAATGATATATATAAAATATATCACATGATTATGGATCAGTTGCCAAGATGCAAGATTGTCTGCTCATAGTTCAATTTTTATGTTCTTTCACCCTTTATTTCTAAAGACAATTTTTGGCAGTTTATCTCAATATTTCTAGTTACAAATGCTGGAACAAGTGATTACATCCTTGTAATAAAACAGAACAGGGTTTCTCATCCTCGGCAGTACTGACATTTTGGCCTGGATAAACGACTCAGCAGCAACTATCAACAACAAATTCTGTGTTGTCCTAAGCACTGTAAGCTGTTTAGGAACATCCTTGGCCTCTAAGGACTAGTTGCCAGTAGGATATCCTCCCTCCCCCAGCTGTGACAACCAAAAATATCTCCAGCCATTGCCAGATGTTTCTTGGGGGCAAAATCATCTCGGGTTAAGAACCACTGAAATAGAAACATGAAGTTAACATATAATTCACATAATTAACTATAAGGAAGATTTTAGTGCCTGTAGTCAAAGTATTTTCAACTCTGTGTTGAAGTAGCTTCTAAGAATGTTCAGTAGTAAATAACAATATTTTGTGAAATGTGGAAAAAAATATTCTGTACCTGTACAAAATGTGAAGATGCCCTTCTTAATATTACAATTATGAAAAGGTGGGTATAAGACAAAATAAGTGGGAAAAAAATGAGATTGCAGCTAATGACATACTGTAGGAGAGCAGAGAAGCAGTAGGGACCAATTATAGTAACAACACCCCAGTGATATGTTAAGACAGTAGGCAAATCCAAGGTAAAACAATTGGTCCCTAATTGCCTAGAACAACAGGAGGAGTCAGGAAGAGGAGGAAGAAATGAAATGCATGGCTAATTGTTTCCATGAACAAATGCTTCCTTTGCCATGATCCTAGAAGAACTGGATAGTGCTCAGCTTCCATTAGTGAACATTTTGATCAAAGATTCTATAGAAGAATCCTGACCATAAGTGGGGAAAATGCAGAATAGAATTTAAAATTTTCATGGAGTCCAGATTTTTTGGAGCCACTGAGGCTGGATAAACCCCTAAAACCACTGCCCTGAGGTAATCTTTAAACCTTAAACCAAAAATATCCCCTGAAGTCTTCTTAAAACCAAACAATAATTTTAGTTTAATTAGTAAAAATGTCTGCCCTGAGTATTATGTTCTTAAGAAGAATTATGTGGGATCAAATTGACAAGAGCAACTCAAAAGTCAGATAGGAATTTTAGGGGGCAGTGAGTTTATATTAATGGAGGAAAAACAATTGGGAAAAGGAGGATGAGAATAGTTGCACAACTTGAAGAATGTAATTAATGTCACTGAATTGTACATGTAGAAATTGTTGGTATATGTTCTCCTGTGTATATTTTCAACAATAAAAGCAGTAAATTATTAAAAAAAAGTTTTAAAAAATAGGCAAATTAAAGAAATGCAAATCAAAACAACAATGAGGTATCATGTCACCTCAGCATTAATAGCAAAGTCCAAAAAAAACAGAAATAACAAATTCTGGTAGGGTGTGGAGAGACTGGAACACTCATACACTGCTGGTGGGATTGTAAAATGGTACAGCCACTGTGGAAAGCGGTATGGTACTTCCTTAAGAAGTTGGATATAGAAATACCCTATGAGACGGCAATCTCACTACTAGGTACATATCCTAGAGAAATGAGCTGTGACATGAACGGATATATGCACACTCATATTTATCACAGAATTGTTCACAACAGCAAAAAGATGGAAACAACCTAACTGCCCATCAACAGATGAATGGATAAACAATCAATGGAATACTTGTTGTGTTGTTGTTATGTGCCCTCCAGTCGGCCCCGACTCATAGCGACCCCTCCTTGGGTTTCCGAGGCAGTATCACTACGGAAGTAGGATTGCCCAATGTTAAAAGAATAATGTGAATCTGCAAAACACCTCATAACATGGATGAACCTAGAGGGCATTATGCTGAATGAAATTAGTAAATCACAAAAGGACAATTATTATATGAGACCACAACTGTAAAAAGTGAAGAAAAGGGACTTTCTACATTGGGTTCTGGCAAGATGGCGGATTAGGCAGAAGGATTGCACAGACCCTCTTCAACAAAGAAAAGGGAAA